TCTATTTCTACCTTGTTTTTGTCTATTTCTTGAGTGGACTTTGGTATTTTGTAATCTTCAAATGTTCCTTTCTTCTAAATTGTCTAATTTAGTGGCATAAAATTGTTCATATTAGTCATTTATCTTTTAATTCTTTTTAGAATCTATAATGGTAGCCTTCTTTCATTCCTATCACTTTGAATTTTTCCCTTTTATTCTTGATCAGTCTTTTCAAAGAATCAACTTCTGGTTTCACTGGATTGCTCCATTTTCTATTTCATTAATTTGTCCATTTTCTATTTCATTAATTTCCACTCTTTATCTTCTCCCTTTGGGATTTAATTTACTCTTCTTTTTCTAATTTCTTAAACAGAAGCTTAAAAATTAGCACAATTTCCTAATATAAGAATTTAATGTTATAAATTTCCTTCTAAATGCTGTTTTAGCTGCATCTCACAAATTGCTTAAATTATCATTCAGTTCGAAATATTTTCTGATTCTCCCAGTGATTTTTTCTTTAACCATCAGTTTTTTAATTGTTATTTAATTTCTAACATTTAGGGATTGTTCCAATATGTTTTGGGCTTTTTTCTCAAAGTTAATTCCACTGGGATCATTAAATATAATTTGCATAATTTCGATTATCCTAAATTTGCTGAGACTTGTTTAACGACCCTGCATACATATGATCTACCTTGGTGAATGTTCCAGATGTTCAGAACATGTATTCTGCAGTTACTGGGCACAGTACTCCATAAATGTTAACTAGGTCAGATCTGTTGACAGTGGTGTTCAGATCCTCTATATCCTTACTGATTTTTTTATATTTGTTTTATCAATTACTGAAGACAGTGTGTTAAAGTCTCCAACTATAGGTATGAATTTGCCAATTTTTCCTTTTCTGACAATTTTTGATTCATGTATTTTGATAGTTATTAGAGTTATACACATATTTAGACTTTTCCTTAATTTTATACTACTGACATTTGTCACTGGGGCTATTCTATGTATTAAGATGTTTAGCCTCCCTTGCCTCTATGCACTAGAGAAAGTAGCACTCCCACCACCAGTTGTGACAACTAAAAATGTCTTCAAAATTGCCCCTAGTTGAGAACAACTGGGCTGGATTAAAAAAACTAAACAACAACAACACTTCAAACAAAATGGAAATAAGGTAGACGGAAAAGAAAAAAAATTAAAAACTAAAACAGCACATCATATATCATATTAGAAAGCTTGGATTTTGATTTTGATTCAGGAGACAATAGGGAACTTTAATGCAAAATGGTGAAAGATTCAGATTTATTTTATTAATGATAAATATACTAAATAACCAGAATAGGGAATCTATAAAGGAAAAAAGTAAGTTAATGGTTGCCTAGGGGAGGAGGGAGAGCACAGTAATGCAGGATGATAGCTAAAAGGTGTGGGGGCTTCCTTTTGAAGTAATAAAAATGTTCTAAATGGACTATAGTGACAACTGCACATATCTGTGAACACAGCAAAAACCATGTAATTATAATGTAAATGGATGAATGATATGGCATGTGAGTTAGCTCACAATAAAGCTGTTTTTAAAAAGTATTATTATAGCTCACATGTACCAATTAGTTACTATGTGCCAGGCATGTTTTAAGCTTCTCACATGCATTATATGTAGATCTCACAACACTTTTATTTATAGCAATAACAATAGCAACCATTTTTATAGATAGCATTTACTATACTCCAGGCATCTAATCCTCACAGCAATCTATAAAGTAGGTAATATTATCCCATTTTACAGATAAGAAAACTGAAAAATAAAAAAAGAATTAAGGTCACAAAGCTAGCAGCAGAACCAGGAATCAATGTCACAGAATCTGGTTTCAGAGTCCCTGCTTTTAACTATTCCCTGTAATTATTTAGCAGCTACCATATGCAACATATCAAGAAACTGAGACCTAGGAGAGTTAAGTAACTTGTCCCCAAAGGCCCCAAAAGCAACTAAGTAAAAGAGAATGGATTTTTGGCCATAATTCAGTTTCAGAAAATAAGGATGTGTAATATTGTGATTTATATTTGGTCTTTGACCCCATCTCAGGCACAGAGCTCCTAAAACCCTTGGAATTTCCTGTGATGGAATCAATAAATGACAGTGTCTTGTTATGTTAATGAGGTTAATTAGACTGAGTTAAATTACCAACAGCCTAAGATTTACTCAACCATGCCTATGTAACAAAGTCTCCATAAAATCCTAAAAGGACATGGTTCAGAGAACTTCTAGGTTGGTGGGCACGTGGAGAGGTGAAGAGAGAGGCACAAAGACCATGGAAGCTCCAAACCCCTTCCCACAAACCTTGCCCTGTGCTTCTCCTCCATCTGGCAGTTCCTGAATTATATATATATTTTTATAATAAACCAGTGATTTAGTAAGTAAAATGTTTCTCTGAGTTCTGTGAGCTGCTCTGGCAAATTAATCCAAGCCAAGGAGGGGGCAGTTGAGACCTCAAATCCACAGGCAATCAGAAGCACAGGTGACAACCAGGTCTTGCAATCAGCATCTGAAGTTGGGGTGAAAGCGCAGTCTTGCAGGACTGAGCCCTTAACCTGCAGGATCTGATGCTAGAAAGGGTCAGAAGTGAGTTAAATGGTAGGACATACAGCTGATGTCCGAGCACTGCTTGGTGTATTGGAAAAACCACGCACTGGAATTAGAGTCAGAATTGTGGGTTAGTGGTCGTAGAAATGAAAAGGAAGGAATAAATTCAATACTGAGAAAGTAAAATCAGGAGGACTTGGCTATATGTGAAGGAAAAAGAGTAAAAAGGGTTGAGGACCCTGAACCAGGTCACACAGCAGGAGGTGAGCGGCAGGCAAGCGAGTGAAGCTTTTTCGGTAATTGCAGCTGCTCCCCAGAGCTACACCGCCTCAGCTTCAACTCAAATCATCAGGCATTAGACTCTCATAGGAGCACCAGTCCCTGGTGCCAAAAAGGCTGAAAACCACTTCCATAATACATAACTGGATAGAGACGGTGGGGTCACCAGCTAAGATAAAGAACATAGAAGGAAGTGCAATTCTAAAAAATTCTTAATTCAGATTCCAAACTCAAATGAGAATCGATGTTTCAAAACTCTTTACTTTCCAATAAAAATCAGTGTTTCCAAAAATTGGAGAAAAATAAAATAGCAACGCAATCAACTCTTCTCTGAAAGGCTTGAAATTATTACTGAAAATAGGAAGGAACTGAAAGACATCTCTGAGATAGGATAGAATTTAATGATCTGAGACAAAGAAAATTAAGAAGCAAAGAGGTCCCAATCACCTTAATTCGACTGAACTTTCTAGTAGCTTACGAGTCCAGTAGCATTACTATACGTCTCAGAATCTACATGAGTGATCCTCACATTACAGTATGTCAGATTCTCTAAAACCTTATCTAATAAAGGTTACAAACTATTTCCCCACCCTACTTTCCAATACATAAACACCAATTTTGCATCCAGTTACAATGGTGTGGAATCATAAACTCCTTGTTGCTGGTCCATGATCCCTAGATTCAGAACCTGTGCTCTAAATTCTAAAGCTCATTTACTGAAAAATAACTCTAGCAACAATACATAATTCAGGAGCCTATCACAAGCTCGTGATTCTCTTTCCTTACTCTAGCCCACTAAAAATAGTTTTCTTTGTAGATCTCCCTATTTGTGTAGTGATTCCCTTCACTGAGGGCTCAAGGGCCAGAAACCCTTGAGCTTGTGATATTTTCCACTCCTCCTTCCTCTTTGCTTCACACCTTCAATTTTTTGTCACCAAGAGATAAAGCTCTTCATGTTAGTTCCCTGTAGTTCCAGACCCAAAATACCACCTGTTACTTTTTAAGCAATGTTAGACAATGCATTTGTGACTGAGTAAGTTCTAGACACTTATTCCAATTATTACTGGAGAAAGGAAAAATAAAATCTATTCTGAAGCAGCTCACAGATACTGGGGGTGGTGAAAAATAAAATGAATTAAAATGCAAAGAGAAAAAACGTGTGATAAGAGTCCTTAACTCAGACGGGGGGTGGGGGAGGGCAACGAGAAAAGGCTCTTAAAAGGCCAAAGATCCACTTCGTAGAAACCTCTAATTCACCTTATAATTCCTATGGTTAGTACCATGCAGTTAGCACTGTCTTGAGTCTTTCTGTTGTTTTGTTTATGAACTATCTCCAAAAACAGATGTTAAATTCTCTGGGGGCAGAGACCATAACGGATTTGTCACCTCACAGAACCACACTGTGCCTTAGGCACAGCAGGAAAGCAATCAATACTTGTCAATGCGCCGAGAAGGAACGAGGCAAAAAGAAAAACATTCACCCAAACAGGGGTGGCTAGACCCAGGACACTTAAGTAAAACTCATGGCAAAAGGGCTGACAAGCCACTTCAATTACAGAAAAATAAACTACATTTATCTACCAGACGGGGCCAGAGCGCTGCAGGAGGATAAGTCAGTGGAGAAAAGAAGGTTCCCAAAAATAAAAAACAAAAGGCTCTTTTCAACCTCTTCAAACACGCGCGGACGTCTCTGCCATGGGCCAGCCCCCAGGAGGGGGCCAGAGTGACAAGACACCGCTTCTCTCTCTCCTTAAAGCAGCGCGTACTGAGCAGGGCCGCGAGACACGCGCGAAGAGGGCGGCCGGGTCCGCGGAGCATTTTCCCTCGCGCTCCGGTTCTTACCTGCTTGGCCAAGAACCTGCCCAGCTCGCTGCGGCTCTTCTCGCTCTTGGCAGCGATTAACCGCAGCGGTGTGGCCGCTACCTCCAGCAAAAGGTGCTCCATGACCGCTGATCCTCTGCCCCCGGCGGCCACCAACGCTCCCTGCTTCACGCTCAGAGCCCTGTAGCAGCCGAGGTTCCGGAGTCCGAGCTGCCACCAACTACGCCCCTCCAGGAAGAGTGGCGGGCGCAGCTCCGCAATTACCCGGAGAACGGCAGCACACGTGGGGGAGCACGCGGAGCTCTGCGTCATCAGTCCGCGACACCACAGCCACGGCCCCGCCCCCTCGGCAGCGCAAGCGCCAAGAGTCGTTTTTGCGTCAGTTGGTGCAGGCGAATGGAAGCCAAAGTTGAGTACTGGAGTCGGGTCCAGTTCCCGGAGTGATGGGAGGCTACGCGGGACTAGACGAGACAGAAGATTCTACCAAGCGAGAAGCGAGGCAGCCCTTAGAGGTGTGTAATTTTCAGCCTGCTGTGCCTCCCTCGGCCTCAACACGCAAAAAGATCAGATATGAAAGAGAATCGGATTCGTCCATCCTGGACCCAGCAATTCTAGACCTCTAGCCTATGGAGATTGGTACACAAGGGTATGACTAACATGAGCTTTGCATCATTTCTTTCTTTCTTTTTTTAAAATTTTTTAGGCGAGGCAACCCTTGGTTGACCTCACAGATTGCAGGGACCTTGTCATCTTACAATCCCTTTTTTTATTTTTTCTGCCTACAGCGCCTGGTCTTCCTAGTTGGTCTCCAATCCAAGTACTAACTAGGCCCGACCCTGCTTAGCTTCTGAGATTCATTTCTTAACATAAATACTAGAATGTGTTCAGTTGGGGAATATTTAAATAAAGTATATACACATTTAGAATATTCTTAAGTTGTTAAAAAGAGTGGAGTAGAAGAGTACATAAAATTAAAAGTGTGCTTATGGGAAGCCCCAAAATAAGCCAAAATAATGATAAAGTTAGGCTCATGGTTGCCTTTGGGAGAACTGACTGCCAAGAGGCCTGAGGAAACCTAGGATGATGGAAATATTTCTTTATCTTTTTCTGAGTAGCGGTTACTCTGGCGGATAAAAATAAACCAATAAGATTTGTGCACTTTGTGTTAATTGTATCTCCAAAAAGTGTTCTTAAAGAGGGTAGGTATTTTTGTACTGACATGGGCAGATCAACAGCAAGTGCATAAGGGTACTATGATCCAACCTTTTGAAAATGTATTTGAATTTTTTCTAGGGTTTGAATGTTTGCTTCTGAGGGAACCCAAACTGAAGTGCAGAACTTCTAGAACGAGTGAACTGTGAATGTGGGGCAGAAAACATTTCCAAATAAGTAATATTTTAAAAATTCCAAGAAGATTGAGAGGGTTCCCTTAGGACTTAGAACAATAGATGAAATGATCCACACACGGGGATTCATTCATTTCTTTCCTGGGTATCTCCTATGTATATATGAAGTATGCATGTTAATAAACTTGTTTTTCTCTTGTTAATATTTTATTACAGGGACCTCAACCAAGAACTTAGAAGGGTAGAGGGAAAATTATTTTTCCTCCCTACACACCCTTACTCAGGAATCTGTTGAAAGAGGTGCTCCTCCATATGAATGTGTAAACCAAGAAAGAGGAAGACATGGAATCTAGAAAATGAGAGATTTAATACAGAAAGAAAAATGTTAATGGGAAAAGCACACTAGTTGTGTGACCTAAGTTAAGCAACTTAACCTTCTTAGGCCTTGGGTTTTCTCTGAAAATTCTGATTCTGTGTCTGTCTCCCACAGTTAAAAAAAACTCCTAGAACACAGGAAGTACCTTATCATACCTGTATCTCACACAGCACTAACATACTGGGTCTCATACGTGATAGGCATTTAATAAATGTTCAATCCTTCCAGGTATTTAGATGACTGAGAAAACCAAAAGCAATTTACTCAAATCACTTGGGCAAATTATAGAAGTACATATTTTTTAGAAACTGATGCACCATCTGATGTCTCTAACTACTTATAAACTGTAGATCAAATACAAATTAAGAGGGTAGTTCTCCTTGTTAATAAGGGAAGAAACTTCTTTCCCCCTTTTCAGTATTTCTCCCTTTTCGGTATTTCTCTCATTTTCAAATGTATATAAATCTTTTTAAATAAGTCTCTTGCCAGTTTCATAATTCGGGAATTTTTCCTCCAGGACCTGGGAGCCATCTCTTTGGAAAGAAATCGTCATCAAAGAAGATAATGCCCAACTGTCCAGTTTCTGCAGAGGAGATGGGCCTAACTTGTCACCAAACTCCAAACTGCAAAACTTACTTAATGTAATGGTTATATCCACTTGGCTATTGTTAAATTAATTAAACAAAGAGCCCATTAGACTGAGATGACTCTAATGCCTTGGTGCTCTTCCTAAGCAAACCAAAACCTAAGCCTATAAATGTTTGAAGGTTAAGAAATCAAAACACTAAGGACAATCAGTAACACCCAACTATGCTTTAAGCTATAGCCAATCAAATAATTTCCTTTCTTTGCTTCCACACTTTCTTTATATAAGTCTTTCCCCTGTCTCCTGTTCTTGGAATGCCCCTAACCACTTCTGGTCTAGCGCTGCCCAATTGGAATTAATTTTTGCTCAAATAAACTCTTAAAATTTTTAATACGCCTCAGTTTATTTTTTAACATCATGTAAAAGGGTGAGCTGTCTGCAATCTCTTAAGGGGATTATGATATGCATCACATTCTGTTTTAATGCTTATTCAATAATGGTTTTCTACCTTTGTGGAAAGATTTTCTGGGTTGGAAGGGGATTTTGTTTTTAATTAGATTTCTCCCAATAACTGTGATTTCATACATAAAACAAGCAGTAAAAAGCAAATTAGAAGAAACCAAACCACTACCATTATTTTGAGTAATAAACTTCTTACTAAATGACCAATTCCTTCCTTAAACATTAACTGCCTCTTATTTGCAGTTAGACTATTCAGTACATACTATGACCTTTTTGTTATTCATAGTGAATACTAAATGCCCATAAGAGGCCCCAAAAAAATTCTCCTTTCTTAAGATTTCCTAATTCCACAACTCCTAACTTTAACAATGCCATTTTATTCAATCAACAAGTGTACATTTAATACTTTGCCAGACACACTGCTAGGTCCTGGGAATGTGAAGATGATGGACAGGGGCCTTGTCCTTAAAGGATTCTCAGTCTCATGAAGATAGAGACCTAAGGGATATCATCACAAAGGGCTGTAATAGAGAGTTTGTATGAGAATACAAATAGGGAGGCTGCCAACTCAACCTAGGAGATAGGAAAAACTTCTGGAGAAGGTGAGATGTAAGCTGAGGCTCAAAAATAATATCACATTTTATTAACAGTTTAGAGAAAATTCAAAAGAGTTACACACTAGATGCTATTTCTCCAGGGGAAGAAGAAAAATATGCTAAGCCCTTCATGGAGATCTTTGTTGCTAACTTTCCTCCCATATCTCTCAATTACTCTCCTCTGCCCTGCTGAGAGAGAGGATCCTCCATCAGGTGAATCTTTGTCTCTTTCAACAAAACTCCATTCCTTTCCCACAGAAATTGGCTTCGCTTATCATCTGTTCTTCCAAAATATCTGGGAGAATTTCCAAGACATATTAGCAGCCATGCCTTTCTCAAAGTTTAACTTCTTTAACCAATGCCCTCCTTTATTATTATTAAAAACAAGACAACAAACCCAAAGTGGAGCCACTATGGTAATCCCCAAGTCACCAAACCAAGACTTAATTATAGTTTGCCTCTCCCAGAAATGGAATCTTAAATCAGACAATCACGAATTGCCTGATCAGCACTAGTTAGGTAATCTTCCTGAGAGACCTGTCATTCCCTAAAGGAAACTAACCTTGCAATAACCAATTTGATTTTTTGCCTAGTGTAACTTCCTTGCTCCTGCTCCCTTCTATCTATGTCTTTATTTTTTACACTTCCTCAAAGCTCCATTTTATCTGCTCGATTCAAAGTGATTTTTGCTCAGTCTTAAAATTTTTAATATGCCTCACTTTATCTTTTAATATTATCAATGTGGCGATTGATTAGTTTTGCTTGGTCTTGAATTTCATATAAATTAAATCAGATAGTATGTATTATCTTGTGTCTGGCTGATAACAAAAAAAGTGTGGGTTTCAGTTACCCCATATGTTTTTTAACACTTGTTATTTTCAGACTTTTAATTTTAGTCACTCTGGTAGATTTGCAGAGGTATCTCATAGTTTGAATTTGCATTTCTCTGATGAACAAGAATTATTTTCAAATATTTAATATTCATAGGGATTTTTTTGTGTGTGTGAAGTTTTTTTTGCTCCATTTAAAAAATGGGTTGTCTTTTTGTTGTGGGAGTGTGGCTTGGTTGGTTGTTTTTGTTTTTGAATATTCTGAATATAATCTTTTGTCAGATAGATGAATTATAAATCTCTTCCCCTGGATGAAAGCTAGGGACTTTTCCCCCAGAAAAACTGATCTATTCATAATTTTTTGCAAAAAACTTAAGAGGGTTCCATTTCCAGGCTCATCTACAAGCACTTGCCCTTGGGCTTGTCTCCAGCATATTTTTAAGATTCTTTACTTTCTGGTACAACAGGTATCTAAGATCATCTTTTTTACTCTCCTGTCTCAGTCCTGGATCTTTCATATCTCTAAGGAGTTTCTTTTATTAAGGAATAGTATTTAGAGACCAAAGATTTGGATACTACAAGTGTTCATTACTATTGGGGCATTGCAGCTTCTAGACCCTTTCACAGAACAGAGCTAGGAAATGTGAATATGTATATATAAATAAAATACATGTGTGTACACATTTACAGACATATGTGTTCAAATCATAAGTTCATACTGATACCTCTAATCTAATCGAAAACCACAGGATTCCACCTTGCCTTCCTCCATTCCATATTTGAATCATCCTTTTCCCATAGAACCCTGACTCCTACAATAATCAATATATTTATTTCTCAATTTTACAATATATACAATATACTTTTGGAGTTGCTACATTCATACCATTACGAACAACAAGTTTACTAGAGATTAAGATTTGTTTGCAAGTTAAAAAAAATCTTTCTTGTTTTTGTTTTAGACTGAAAATATATAGTCAAAGTACTACTTTCCAAAGTTCCTTGGATTACCGCTTTTTTTCTATTTTAGGTGAATATGTTATTTTGAAATGCAGATAAGTTCATTGGTTTTTGTATGTATTCATAGACTTTAAATTGAAAAGTAAGGGAAGTTGACTAGTCAAAAGTATTAGAATGTTCGAGAGAACTTGAGATTTACTACATGTTTAGGTACTTAGGAATACTTTACTTGTCAGGGTTTTTACATTTGTTCTACCAATATTTAAAGTATTTAAAAGCAGATCAAAATTATTTAATTTATAAATAGAGTTTAAAATATTGAAGAGAATTTAATTAAATTTAGTCTATAAATGGGAGTGATTATTAATTTAAGTTCATTGAACATGGTTTTCCTGCTCTGCTTTTCATTCTCACATTTTATGAAACAATTTTAATAAAACTCTACATTATTTTGTTTTGTCTAATTACCACTTCTGTTTCAGTTATCTAATGCTGTGTAACAAATTACCTTAAAATATAATGACTTAAAACACCAACCATTTTATAATTTTTTGTAATTTAGGAGGTCAAGAATTTGAGTAGGGCTCAGGTGGCAATTCTTCTGCTCCATGAGGTGTTGACTGAGAATATTCAGTGGTATTGAGCTAATGGATGGGCTGATCTGAAGGGTTCAAGATGGCTTCACTTGGCAGGGATGGCTAGAAGGCTAGGCTCAGGTAGGAGTGTAAGCTGGAATGCCTACATGACATCTTGAGGGAGAGAGAGAGAGAGAGAGGAATCCAAGGTAGAAACTGTAAAGATTCTTATGTCCTAGTCTTGGAAGTCCAAAAACATCACTCAGCTTGCATTCTACGGTCAAGCAAGTCATTAAAGTCAGCCCAGATTCAAGGGGCTGGAAATTAGACTCCACTTTTCAGTGAAGGAGTAGCAAAGAATTTGCAACTCTTCTTTATCTACCACAACTAGATGCACTTGTTGAGATTTCTAACAGGATTTTCCAGAGCACTTTCATGTAAATTATTTGAGAAAATAATTTTTAAAAATGATATATAATGCTATCACTAGAACTGTTAACCTTATCCACTAGTACACACATTCAGAGTACTGAATGTTTTACACTTGCTCCATTAGATATACTCTCCCTCCTACTTCATCCTGCTCTCTACCCTTAGGAGTTGACCTGTTGAGACAAGGGAGAGCCCCGGCGATCTCTGTTTTAGTGGGAAATAGTACAGTATTTAGAAAACATGGTCTGGGGCTTTGATGTATTAATGATATATTGGGGTATTATTGCTTCCAACAGAAATAAGAAATATGCATTTTTAAAATCATGAGGTCATGCTGATATTTTCAACTTACACATAATAGTATAGGATTTCTCCTTAACTTTTTCGATTTTATGTTTGGATTTCTCTTCTCTTTCATTAAATATCTTGGTCCTAAAATATTACCATAATATATATTTTTTAATCCTATCACAAATCTAAAATAGTATCAAGATTATAATTCTAAAACTATCAATAAAACTACTGCATAAAGCATAAGATTTCTTTGCTGTTCTTTTTTTTAGTCCTTAGACTATACCCTACTAATGATGTACAGTTAGATGTCATTTGAAATAATTATTTTGTCTGAATAGTTATATTTCTCTTGTTTACACAGTTATTTTTATTTATTTCAACGTATTTTCCATTTAGCATTTTTTATTTCTGATTTAATTCAATCTTTGAATATATGAAACATTTCCATGGTTCAAAAGTAAAAGATTATTAAAAAAGCAAACAATAGTTTAAATAGGTGAAATATATGGTATGTGAATTATATCTCAATAAAGCTGTTATTAAAAAAGAAAAAGCCATGCATATAAAAATACTTAAAAGGAGGGTTTTTAAAAAAGGCGTGAAAGAAGTCTCCTTCCCTTTTTATTCTCTCTAGTCAGTCTTCTTCCCCTGTAAGTTAGCCTTTTTTATTAGGTTCTAATTTACCCTTCTTATGCAAAAACAAGCAAGTATATGTACATTCTTTTTCCCAGCCTTTTTTATTAGGTTCTAATTTACCTTTCTTATGCAAAAACAAGCAAGTATATGTACATTCTTTTTCCCAGTCTAACGCAAAGGTTCACATACCATGTACACTGCACTGTATGCTTTTCCCCTTAACGCTATAGGTTGGTTACCCCATATAAGTACGTAGACATCTTCAGGAATTGCTTTTCTTTAACCAATATTTGCAATTGTCAGTGCAGACTCCATAAAAAATTAACTGTGTCACATTTGTTTCCTTTAAAAAAATATCAATTACTTCGGTTGACTTCTATAAGTATCCCAAATAGGCATTGACTGAAGTCTTTCCAAGAGAATATTTTTATACCAATCACTACTTTCTAGTCAATGTAAAATATTTAAGAGAGTTCCAATAAAATGAAAGACTTTGTAAGGTCTTCAATAATAAGGTCACTCTTTTATGGAAGATAAATTTTGGGAAAATCTTTATTGATTTTTGAGGTATATATGCTTTGTTCTCAATAAATATTTTTTATTAATGCCATCATCAAGCATTCATGCTGAAAGCCAATATTTAATCAATTGGTAAGTTTTGTCTATTTTATCTTATAAATATTTGAAAATTTATCCTCTCTCTTACCTACTATCACCTTCGGATCCTCATTTTCTCTAGCTCAGATGGCTACAGAAGCACCTCAAAACCTTCCTTCTCAAGGCCAAAGGACCTTAATAATGCAAATCAGATTATGACAGCTTCAAGCTTAAAATCCTTCAGTAGTTCCCCTATGCCTCATCATTTAAAGGTAAATTCCAAGATCTTTGACATACACAAGCCCTTTCATGGTCTGATCACTGCTTCCCTCTCTTGCCTCACCTCACACTTTATGCTCCAGCAACAATGAATGCCTTGTGGTTGCAGCTCTCTACTCTGTCCCAGTCTCCACAACCTGGAATGCCTTTCTATATGATCAACTTCTCAGACGAGAAGCTGGTTGGGGAAGAATCTAGGAAGCCAGTGCTTTCCCAGAACATACTCTCTCAAATGGGGGCCTTTTCAAAATTTAAAAATATTTAATAATGATATGACAGTTCCAAGTTGTTAAAACAGATAAACTAGAGGAAACGGCTAGGGATCAAGATCAAGGTCTCTGGATGAAGTAACGGGAAGTTGGCTTTGTTTTACTTCCTCACCAGCCAATGGCGCAGGCCCCATTTCCGGAATCTAGACCCTATCCACATCTCTGGTTTCTGCAGGTTCTATAAGACTATTCGGGTATTCTACCCTCTAAAAACCTCTCCTCTCCCTCCTATCCCACTGGACAAGTATCCCTTCCTCAAGGCTCCCAACACTCTAGGATAAGTTGTTCCTCTATCATCCAGGAAAGTGTCTGAGGGCAAAGAACAGTGCTTATTCATCGTTATTGAGCCAGCCGCCCAGTATAAGTGGCTGATACTCAACAGAATTTATGGAATGAAGGACTAAATAAATGAGAAGGCCTTCTCGCAGCTTACTATCCCTTTCATTAAGAGCTTCTCCCAGGCACCGCCCCTACCTTGGCCGAGGTCCCACCCCTTCCGTGGTGAAGCCCAGGTCCGTCTCCTACTCCGTCAGCTCTGGCCCCGCCCCTCTGCTTACCCCGAAGACTACTGGAGTTTGGCGCCAACCGTGTGCTTTTTTCCCCCCTCCCGAAGGCGGGAACTAGTTATGTACGCCAGGACGTGCTTTGCGTCTGATTTGATTGGTCGTGGGCGCTCAGTCCCACCTCCGCGCCCTGATTGCGCTCTGGCATTGGCGGAGATGCTTGGGAGACCTCGCTGTACTGAAAGGAGCCTGGGCTGTCTTGGGCCAGGCAGGTTGGGTAAGTTGCTTTGGGGGTCCGCTTCGCACGAAGCTGCTGGGGAAGAGGCTGCATGGCGAGGTAGTACCCCGAGCGGAGGCCTGCGGCGTCCGAAGAGCCAGGGAGTCGAAGAGAGCTGCGGAGGCGGTGGGAGGGGCGCTCCTGATATCCGGGGCCCGCTGGGAGCTGCGTTCCCGCCGCCCTCAGTTGCAGCCTGTGGGCTGGCACTCATGTCCCTGTGTGGTCCCTCCAGAGGGTCCAGGCTGGAGGCGAACGCATGTAGGAATTTCCCTTTCGACTGCTCCTTCCGCCCCTCCCCCCCAAACCAATCTCGTCTTGGAATGTACTTTCAAAGGCTTTCGGATGAGATTCTTTGCAGGAATGGGTGTTTCTTAGTGTCAGGTGATCATTGATGTTGGTTGTTTTCGAGACTGTTAAGCCCAGAGAAGTTTCTTGACCTCCGCAGCGCCAAGAACCGTGACAAAGTAGGTCTTACCTCAGACATTAATGTAGAATTCACAGAATCTCAGGCTTTCTATTTAAGGGATCAAGTTGGCGTTGACTCTCATTCTTACCTAGTCTTTCTCAGATTCTTTTTTGATGTTTTCCATTCTCCACAGCTCCAGTTCCAAGCCTTTGGCCTCTCCTTTATCTCACTGAGCTCCTCTTGGGAGTGGGGCAGAGACCTTCATCCCAATTATCTTTTCCTAGCATTTCTTGCTATTTTACAATGATATGGCCCCCTTTCAACATTTAATGCACATTCTTGATATTGTCATCTGGCTTTGGAGACAGAGCTGGGATCCAATCCCAGATCTATCACTTGCCAGCTGTTTTACCTTGGGGCAAGTTTCTTAGTCTCTTATCTGTTTCCTCATCTGTAAAACGGGAAAAAGAAGAGCAGTATACCTCATAGGACTTGTGGGAGGATTTAAAGTAATTTAATGTATTTAGAATATTTAGGTCAGTGTCTGGCATACAGTGTTCAGTATACATAACGTTTGTTGTTATTTCTCCTTTATATGTTCTTCAGGGATCTTGCTGTATTAGATCTGACCTTTCCCATGAGCCTAAAACTACACCTTCCCTCTTCCCTGGCTTTTTCCTGTTTTTCTCCACAAATGCTTATTTCATTCTCTCAATTTTTTTAAAAAAGAAAACTTCCTTTAGACTGTTTTTTTAAGACGTTGTCCTATCACAAAAATCTGGGTGATCCTTCTCATTTGCTTCATCTTCACATCTGAATTTATTGGAATCGTTCCTGAAAAGATGATGTATGAGCTTGCAACTTTTCTTTCCTCATCATGTTTCTCAGCATTTAAAATTTTGCGTCTACACTTTTCATAGGTGCAACATCCCTATCAGTAGCAACTCTCATTATATATTGAGAGCCTCAGTTAGAGGAAGATGAGAACAATTGTGCAAAAGCTGCTCTTCCCAGGAGATTTGGATACATAATACTCCTATTTCTCCTCTCTTCCTTTCCAAGAAAGTCACTGGCCCTCGCGATTTCAGGAGAGTAATATTAATTATGCCAGTTATGTCTTGCTTTCTGTACTACATACTCTGTAGTTTCCAGCTGTCTCTTAGACATGTTCGCCTGAATGTCCTACAGATAGTTCAAGATGTCTTCTTTGGTTCTCCATTTCATTTAAAAGCATGACTACCTTGTTATCAAAGCTAGAAACCTCAGAGTTGTCATTTAATAAATTGGGAATTTTATTAATTCAACAATTTTTTTATTACTACCAACCTGCCAGGCCCTGTGCAAAGCTGGGGATACAGTAGTGAACAGAACTGAGCTGGTCCTGGTCTCCATGGAGCTTGCAGTCTAGTGGGTGAGATGGACATTTATCCAGGAATACCACAAAAATGTATTCATAAACTGAAAAGAGGTCATAAAGAGAAAGGACAGCCTCAGAATATATAACATGTGGCCTGACCTATGGGGGAGAGAGGGTAGCTAGGGAAGGCTCAAACATTACTTAAGTGGGAAGGAATATCAAAGATGAGTTAACTGAAGGTGGAGGTCAAGGAAAGAGCACTCTGCAGAGGCCCTGTGGTAGGAAGGAACAAACAGCATGTTCAAGGAGCTGAAAGAAGGGCACTATGATCAGAGTAAAGACTGCTAGGGAATGGGGGAGAATGAGGCAGACTAACACTGGAGGGATGGGCAGAGGTCAGGTCACTTAGGGCTTTGTGAGCAGAATTGTGACAAAATTTGTTTTTTAACCTAAAATCAAAGCACTTGAGAATTTTAAGCAGAAGAGGGAGTATTAATTCATAATCAGTTTACATTTTCAATTACAGTTTGCACTCAGGCTGTGGTCTTAAAGGGGTTAAGAGTGGACATTTGAATACACATTTCATTAAATCTTTTTGATTCTGCCACAGAAATCTCTCTGATCTGCTTCTTGCCTTTATTTCCACTACTGACAACTTCGTCACCTCTCATTGTCTCCAATATGGTTTTAATAGTCTTTTCTAGCTCCCTTGCCACTAATATTTTCTATACTCTTCTTACTAGAGTTAAATTTCTGAAATGCAGATTTGATCATGATATTCCCCTGCTTTAAAAACCTCAGTGGTTCCCCCATTCCCTACTGGATGAAGTCCAAGTATCTTAATTGTGTATATAATCACCTGACTTTGCTAAAAACTGTATTTTTCACATTCTAATCTGGGTATTCACACTGAGACTGCTTGTGAGTTCATGGATAGATGTGGGGAGATGGTGTCAGGAATTGTGTTTGCAGACAGAAACCCAGTTTCACTGAACCTTGGGATTGTGGAAACCTTGGGATAGTGCATGATAGAGCTGGAAAAGTAGGTGCCAGTGTAGATCATGTAAGAAGTATGGACTTTAGTTGATATTGGGAAGTAATGGAAAGTTTTTGAGTAGGAAGTGTTATGAGCAGGATTGCTTTAGAAGTAACCCAACAATTGTGTGTAGCACGTATTTTGGAGAGAGGAGATAATTAGATAGCTATAGTAGGACCTAGAGAAACAAATTCAAATGGCAGAGATGAGGATACATGAGAGAAACATTGCAGAGTAGTACCAGTAGGCTATAAGGGAATGCTAGTGGTATTCAAAGAAGTAGAGGTGTCAGGAGGTGACAGATGTTGATGGAAAAATGATCATTTTTGGTTTTGGACTTGGTGAAGTTGGACTTACAGGAATGTGTTTATTAACTTTAGCTTCTTATTGCTAGACTTTTAATTTATATTTTGGTATAAACTAAATTTTCTAATTTTCTTGTGCTCTGAGGGAGCAGCAGAGGAGTCTAAATCTGAGCTGGTACCCCTACTTTTTTGTGGCAGTGCTTGTTCTTTATTTTCTACCCCCTTGTGTTTGCTCGGGAAGTGCTTAGCCCAGAGATAAATTTTGCTTTGCATTTATAGAAAATAAGATATTGATGTCCAGGAGTACATCTCCTTAGGAGAAAGTATTCAGATACATTTTTATAAGTGCCCAATAGCATTTAGAGCTAGGTAGGTATTACTGAAATTCTAATAACCACAGCTGTGAGAAATCCTCTCTGAGATTTTTGTGGTAATGAATTTGTATTGTTTAAATCAGTAAGTTTGTGATAATTTGTTAGAACAGCAATAGGAAACTAATATACTCATTCATGCTATGCATATTTCATGTACCCAATAGCCACATACGGATAGTAGTTAACCATATTAGACAGCTCAGATATAGGACATTTTTATCGTTGTAGAGAGTTCTGTCGGACAGCATTGGTCTATTGAAATAGTAGTTCTCAAAGTGTGGTCCTTGGACCAGCAGCATGACCTGGAAACTTTCGAAATACAACTTCTCAAGTCTCACCCCAAATCTATGGAATCAAATTTTGGGCACGGGGCCCATCCGTCTTGTGTTTTAACTTCTCCAGGGGTTTCTGTTGCATGCTAAAGTACGAGAACAATTTCAGAAAATAAAAGATTGCAGTTGAGGTTGCTAAATGCAATTATAATGGGTTTAGAATGTCAGTAGATTAAGGAAATAGTGAGTCATTATGTCTGTAGAAAGTGTCTTCTTTTTTAGGGTAACTGGGTTTGGGAAGGGGATGAGCAGTCCAGGTAAGGAAACAGAGTGAGCAAGGTTTCGGGAGTTGAAGTACATGGAATATTTAAGGAACTGCATGTACAGACATTTCTGCTTTAATGTTAAATGCGTTCTTGAAAAACCTTCAATTCTGCAACTCACTAAAACAGGATTTATGGGAAAAATAGGCACAATACTCAAAACCTATCCACCAACAGGAACAGTAACAATTTTCATTAAAATATTGGCACAGTTAAGAAGACATGTTAAATTCCTAATAAGTAAATATCAATAAATACAGATCTTTTTCTCAAGAAAAAGATAAAATCACTTGACGAAAGATGTAATTAAAGATTGAGGCTGTTAATTTGTGTAGACAAGAACAGAGGGACAGAAACATCAGAGGTTGTTGATGTAGAGGCAGTTACAAGTTTTATGTGAAATATTGTGATGGCAAACTGAATGGCTCTGGCTCATTGCCTGTGTTTGGGGTTCCTAACCGTGCCCCACCCCTTCCCCCCGCCCCCCTTCTCCCCGCAAAAGAAAAGATTGAGGAAAACCATCCTTAACCTCTTCTAAGACAAAGCCTATTGTTGTACTGAGACAGAGGAGTGATGGGCAGTTAGGGTAAGGGCACCATATACAGGACTAGATTCCTTCAGGGCTTGCTACATTTAATTAATAGAACATTTAATTAATGATAGAAAACTTTAACATTCTGGGAAGAACTCTGTCTGAACCAACATAATTTCTGCATTATACTGACAGCATTTTTCTATTTCTCAATAATGTATGTACTAATTTGCATTATAGAAACATGTACTATGGTACAGAATCAATCATGTAGTTGAATGAGGTAGGTGAGGGGAGCAGTGCGAGATAGTAAGAAAAGTAGTGATAGATATTTCTGGAAGAGGCCTTGGGTTCTGTGCTAGGGAATATTAACTTGATAATGTTGTTTTGGGTAGCTCTTGAAGGTTTCTGACTTGGGAGTAAAACATAGGCCAGACATAAACAGGATTAATTTGGGTTCCAGTATAGAAAATAGTAAGAGGATAAAGATACTGATAGTGTGAAAACCAGCTAGGAGACTTTTATATTAATTTCAGTGAGAAACAATTATATCTGAAACTGGAACAATGACTGTGAGTGGAAAGGAGACATTAAATTTGAGAGGCTTAAAAATAAAATCACTAAGAATTTGACTATTTGAAAGTGGGTATGGAGATAAGGAAAGCATCAAAGATAATAGAAGCTTGTGGCTTGAGAGTAAATTGAAGCAGGAGATTGTTGTTTATATTTCCCATATTCAGCATTTACCCCTATTTATTTTCTTCCATTATTCCTTATAAACATTCTTTTCCTTCCTACTGTCTCCATCTTGGGTTGTCTTCTCATGTGGACTCATAGTAGCCTTCTTCCCAGTTTCTTT